GAGACGACGGTTTGACATACATTCTGCATGACAATATTCACCTCGCTAACCGTCAATACCGTTAGAATTGGTTGGCGCAAGAGGCGACTAACGGCATCGGGTGGACAGGCTCGCTGACTTGGTTGACACATGCCATCGTGTCCCAGTTGCGTAGATCGATGCTCATGATGTTAATCACTGGACTGCCTGGTCCAGACACGATTATTTACAGACCGCCGCCATATAGCTGGAATATTGTTGATTGCAGCATTTTAAAAAAAACATTATATGTTTTCTCTTTCTTAAATTTTATGCATGTATTTCATTCTTCCATGTGTACTCTGATAAACGCAAAAACAAAATGGCTAGTTACAGATCTATACACACGGAAGTTAATTTAGCACCCCCTAATAAACTTAATAATTGTGATAATAGCTATCGCTTATGATGACATGTCAGTAAAGCCATTGTTCAGTAGCACATTTCAGGTAATGAAAAACAAGGTTAAATAAGGGTTTGTCAATACACAGCCCACATGCATGTGAAGCATGCTTCCTACTCATATCATGAAAAGCAGTATCTCTGCGTGGCCGTTCAAGGGTACAAAACCCTTGAATAGGGCCTGTAAGTAGGTCAGGGCACTTCGCGAGACCTTTGTACTTCCGATGACAAACAACGTTTCACTCTTCTGAAAGTGGCATTTAGAGAAATATTACAATAAAGAAGCTGTCTATCCATGAAAAGTGTTTCCTCTTCAACGTTTCATACCTTTTCGAAAGGTGTCTTGGTTCTCAGTTCACAGTAAGGAACCGATAATCCTTGCAGGAAGAACTAATTTTCAGTCTAACCATCTCCAATCAGCTATGACAGCCAAGCATGCTTGTACACTTGGTTGTACACTAGTAAAGTCATATTTGGCGGTCGCGCAATTTGGAACCAGAACTGGTTCTTGAATGCGCCTGTCATCGGAAATCTGGTACCGGAAGTAAGCTGGGCACCGTCTCGCATATCGCGCAAGTTGGCGCGAGCAAAGTGTGCCGAGGACCAGCTTAGTAGCGAATGTAGCGCCAGCGAGACTTACAGACCCTGTATGCTATCCGTTTCATCCAAACACGTTAAGATGGCGGGGATAAACCGTTTGTTGGGACTTGGACCAACACGGGTCGACCAAGGCAAGGCAACCAAGGAAGACCACCGGAAGACTGCAATCTCTCCCGTTAAGTGAGGCGTGAATCCTTCTCGTTTGACGCACTCGTTTGAAGCAACTCTTGAAGCAACATTGTCAACCACGACCGTTTCAAAGCTCTTGGTTTGGGGTTCCCGAAGGGTCAGACGGCATCCAACTCTGTTCCATGGAATCTTCAGACCTGGAGACGGATCAATTGGCCAGACGAAAGCGGGTTCCTGTTTCATGTGACGGATGGTCGTCTGAGAGTCTGGATTCGCATTAACACTGCTTATGTTCCGAGGAACATTCATGCTAATTTTCCCTTTGGTGGAGGCTGTCATCCAATCACGTAGACTATACAAATACTGATGCCAAACACCTCGGTAGATTTCCAGGGGTGTATAGGGCCTGTAAGTCTCGCGAGGTGCTACTTCCGGTACTAAGCTGGTTCCCGGCTCCCTTAGAGCGCGCCAACTTGCGACATGCTAGTATGGGCCCAGCTTACTTCCGGTACCAGATTTTCGGTGACAAGCGTATATTCAAGAACCAGTTCTGGTTCCAAATTGCGCGACCGCCAAATATGACTCTACTAGGCCGGACCAAGTGTACAACCATTTTTGGCTGTCAAAGCTGTTGACAGTCGTAATAGTTGGCTAATGTGGGGATGGTTGGGTCGGACACTTCATATTCCTGCCAGGACTATCGGTTCCTTACTGTCATCTGACACCCATGAGACCATTCGAAAAGGTAGAAAACTTTGTTTGTCACCGGAAGTACCAAGGTCTAGCGAAGTGCCGTGACCTACTCACGGGCTATCTACAGACATCCAGATCCGACACTATCGCATCATGTGTCGTGCCAAGACAATAATTATTCAATGAAATGTTATTCCACAAAATTAACAGCGTTGGCATTTCTCAAGTACAGAACAAACAACATTTCTTTTTCTGTTGTCAATTATTCAATCTTCCATTAGATGTTCAGGCATTACTTCCCTTCTAGAAGTATGGAAGTTCTGACATCTTAATTATGTTCCATGCGTATATATGCGGAGCTTCAACAAAATCACATTCGGTCTCCCCGCCTAACAATCATTCATCATTCAATGATGAATTGTAGAAAGTAACACTCATACCAGAAACATGTAGACATCATTTCAGGCACTGTTCATAAGTGCACCACAAGCAATCTGCGACAGAAACTCAAACTGTAGACCAAAAAAGTCCAGTGATAATCTATACAGATACAACTATCATATCAGTGGAAACAGTTGAGTTGTATCCCGTATCACACTTACATAAAAAGGTATGAAAATGCCAACACACTGGCGAAGCTCTCAAGACAATGGATTTAAACAAAAATCAGCTGGCACTTGCAGGATTGACTCCCAGATTCTACAATCTTGCAAGTCTTTCAAGTTTGTAGTTAATGAGAGGGAATTTGATTTGTCTCTCAGATACGCACAGCTGTGACAATTGACGCTATGGTTTGAAGGTTAACAGGTACATTCAGAGTATCTGCCGAAGATTACTGATTCTACACGTGTCATGGGTCGATGATGATTCATCTTCCACAGCTTTGTTTGTTTGTTGTTTTACGCCGCACTCAGCAATATTCCAACTATATGACCGTGGTCTGTAAATAATCAAGTCCAGACCAGGCAATCCAGTGATCAACATCATGAACATCTATCTACGCAATGCATTGAGAGCCAGAAGTGATGCGATGCCATTACGTCAGAGCTAAACTGTATAGCCATAGAACAATAAGGAAATTGCCCTTCAAGAAAATTATAAAATAATAAATAGTGATCATAAATATATAATAGGTAAGATCCTCAGCCGTCACTTTAAAATGCTGCAATCACAATTTTGGTCCATATGGTTGTAAGTCAGTGGTATCTATTTTGTTGTGGCTTGTTTCTTCCATCATCCATGGACATTTTGTCCTGGCAAACAGCTTGACCAATGAAACTGAAAGCCGTTCAGATTCAATTGAGGCTATCAATTTTCCATTTTCTCGAATTTATTTCGCAACGTACGGGAAAGGCTTTTTCTCGAATTCTAGTTTCTAACTCTGCAAACATGTCACCATGTCTGGATTAAGGTTTCCATGAAATCTTGACCAATGAAACTTTTAGTTCTTAAGCTATCAATTTTCCAATTTTCTCAAGTATTTTTTCTAGTTTCTAACTCTGCAAATGCATGTTACCATGTCTGTGATTATTTTGTGCAGGTTTACATTATGCAGATTATTTCTCCCAATGGAATAAACCTGTTTCCCCGTGGTCGTCTGTTATGAACATGGACCCAATTATCATGGAAAATGGTGACATGCATTTCAGAAACAAAAATAAATATTCTTACCGTGTCCTTTGAACTTACTATCAAAGCGGTATTTAATGACTCACGTATCTTGATGTCATTTTGAGTTAAGAAATATCCTTTATTATTTCTGGAGATATTTTTTCGTGATGATATTCTGGTGTACCTGATTACAACATTCAAGTCACTGCAGAATAGACAGGTAGATGATGCACATGTTGGTGTAAATGATACCATATGTTCTATGACAAACAGTGTTAATATAGAAGCTGATGTGCATACGTCTTTGTCATGGACTTGTACGAAGGACTAAATACTAATATTTGCGGTCATTTCATAAAAGAAATAATATAAAATCCGTGTACCAGCAAAACGAGTTCCACAGCTCTGTACATGTACTAAGTTTTGTCATTGTAACACTGCATAGTCAACAGAGCGAGTGACAACTGCATTGAACAGACTTGACTACTGTAGCCCTCTTGACCGATCCTGAAGTCTGTGCAGGGGTGCCCATCCATTTCCTTACTTAAAGACGTTATAAGCATTAAATATCAGGTTAAATTAATATCATTCAAACCAATGGAAAATTGATAGCCTTAATTGAACCGGAACTGCTTTCAGTTTCATCGGTCAAGGTGTTTGCCAGGACAAAATGTCCATGGATGATGGAAGAAACAAGCCACGACAAAATAGATACCCTTGATTTACAACAATGTGAGTCAAAATTGTGATTGCAGCATCATTTTACAGTGAAGGTTGATGATCTTACCTGTCAATTATATATTTATGCTCACTATTATATGTTTTTTATTTTCTTCAAGAGTAATTTCCTCATTAACATTTTAAAACCAGAAAGGAGGGACGAGAGGAAGAAACAGAATTACCCCCATCCAGTTCGTGAAAACCCAATTCCACAATCTTTCCTAACAGAAACGCATCAGGAGATTTTTCATTTTCTTGACCGATCAGCGTTAATGGATATATCCTGAAGTCGGTGCAGCGGTGCCCATCCATTTCCTTACTTAAAGACGTCGTTACATTTAACATCTTGTTTTAGTGGAGATTTTGCGAGGTTTGACTGACTGTGTAAATGGAATTTGTGCAGGTCAAGAAAGGGATGATGGTATTATGAAGGACTGACTGAGTTTAGTTTTACGCCGCTTTTAGCAACGTAACGGCGGGGGACGCCAGAAATGGGCTTCACACACTGTACCCATGTGGGGATTCGAACCCGGGTCTTCGGTGTGATGAGCCAACGCTTTAACCACTAGGCTAGCCCACCGCCCCACTTTGGCAATCAATAGGAGCGAGCAGTCTATACTGAATATGATTTGAAGTAATCACGTTGCATGTCGCCGTCAACATTGTGATGGCATACAGCTGGAGTAAATATATAATGTATACAATAATAAGAAAGGGTCGACACCATATCCCGCACAGAACACTGCAGTCTTGTTTCGTTGACTTTTTAGTATGGTGTCTGACAAGCAAGTGAAATGAAATTGCACAAAACGTTCGAAAGCCAGAAGGAATCTCTTAAAGTTTTATTTTCAGGTTTCAAAGAATGTCATCTTCATCTTCATCCGACCTGCACGACCCGGACAGAGGCTTCTTCAAGATTATAGAATCCAACGACTGAACCTGGCGTGCACTCGCTATTCTCGACTTGACCAATGACCACTTGTTCCCCAGTGGTCAGTGGACAAACGATTGGCGCACCCATATCGCCCTGAAATATAAATACCACTTCGTCAGGTTTTTTTTAACAAATGGACACTAACGGGATCGGGTAGTCAGGCTCGCTTACTTGGTTGACACATGCCATTGTATCTCTATCGCGTAGATCAATGCGCATCACTGGACTGTCTGGTCCAGGCTCGATTATTTACAGACCACTGCCATATAGCTGGAATATTGCTGAATGCGGCGTAAAACTAAACTCACTCTCACTCAACTTCACATTCCAAATTGTGGTATGGTACGCTCACCTTTTAGCAAACAAGCTTTTGTCACTAATTCAAACTAGGAATAAATGAACAGTCGGAATCGTATATTAGATTCTTCATGTGACCTAGGTTGTTTTTAATGTAGAAAGGGTGTCGCTCTTATTTAATAAAATTCTCACGAAGATAGTTTTTCTCAGTTTATGTTTAATTTAGTTGCGTGATTTATGCCACTTCAAAGGGTTGGAACCAACATTGGTATATGCTTAACCCAACGACCTACTAAAATCTGTTCTTTTCTGAGAAAGCATACGACATATATGCTACTGTCTATATAGAGACAGAAAATACAGTATTCACGCGATACAATACTCTTTGAGCAGGACATGTTGACCAGCAGTGACCATTGCAACGTAGATAACTTGTCTTTGTGCCCACTGCCTATATTTATTATGAACAAATAGACATATTTTAAATCACATTTTAAAATCCGATAGTCAATCATGTTCGTTCATCTTGGAAAATCTTATTTCCGTTTACAGGCATAAAGTTGACAAGTTAGAGTATTCTTGCGCAAACCCATCATCTCAAATGAAAAACAAAATTGAATAATCTAAATCTGAAAAATGTTAAAATTAAATCAAATATATCAAGATGAATCTCAGCATACGTCTATGATAAAACACCAACCAGTGGTTTTATTACCTGACAGGTAGACCCAGTTGGAGAGAAGAAACAGTTGTACGTTTGACTGTCTCCAAAGAAAATGTTTTGTGACGAGACCTGAATGAAGGCCAAACACTGGTCAGTTGGCTGGAGACTCGGAATGTCCAGGTACTCGAAGCTGCTCCCACCGCTTAAGTCTGTAACGAGAACACTAGCGCAGTCAAACCTCCACCCTTATACCAACATACAGGAAACTTCATCCATCGATTTGGTCTAAAAACATGATCTCTCGTACGACCGAACCTCTTCTTGTAATTTAAGAAACCCGAAGTTAGATCCACCTATTTGGTCTACAACATTAATTCTTATAAAGGTATACCTCCACTCATGATTTTCAGATAATCTCGAAGTGTGACCTACATATACGGTCCACAACAAGAACATTGGCACAGTAAAATCTCCACTCATAATTTTCAGCTAATCTATAAGTGTGACCCACATATACGATTTGGCACAGTAAAACCTCCACTCATAATTTTCAGCTTATCTATAAGTGTGATCCACATATACGGTCCGCAACAAGAACATTGGCGCAGTAAAACCTCCACTCATAATTTTCAGCTAATCTATATCCACGCACAGTCAAGTGTGACCTACATATACGGTCCACAACAAGAACATTGGCACAGTAAAATCTCCACTCATAATTTTCAGCTAATCTATAAGTGTGACCCACATATACGGTCCACAACAAGAAGATTCGCACAGTTAAACTTCCACAGATAATATTGAGATATTCTCGAAGAACAACCGCAGGGTACATTTCCAAGGCGACAAAGTCCTGGGTCCCGTTCCTCAAAGCGATCGTAGCTCTACGACAGTCGTAAGTCTATGTTAAAGTATGGGAGATACAATCATCTCACAGCAACGATCGCTTTGAAGAACGGGGCCCTGAAGTGTACATGGCGTACACAAATCTGAACCAATTGACCAGTTGACATTCTGGTGGTGGGGGCAGGGGGCCGTTTGTATTGTCCTGGAACGAACATCTGTTGTCTGGTCCTACCAAAACACTCCACACCCATCCCGCTTCCTCCACTCCCCCCTCCCCCACTCCTCTCCAGCCCTCCCTCACTGGAAAGCTAAAAGGTCAGCCCTAAAATGAACTCATCTTTATTAATTCGTTCACATTCTGCAACATTCACTTCTAATACAAGACAGTAGTAATAATGAACACAGATTAATATTTCGTCTCTGACATGAGCATACTTTGCAGAAAAATATATATGTTCTAAAATATAATCATATAATATACTAGGCACATAAAGAAACTGTGCATACAAAAATTTAAAATGTAAATTTATCAAACCTGTGTAGACACATAAGGATTTAAACTCAGAGATAAGTGACATGTATCCAACATGCATGCACGTGCCACGTTCCGTGACGTCATTGGATTCGTCCTTGAGACGTGCAATACGTTGTTGCACGTGCATTCCGGGAAAGAGAAACAGAGCAAATCAATGCCACACAATACTGTCACTTTGGAAAGCTCAACCCCTGCCCTTGCGATCGTTCAAAAACTTAAACGGCTATTGAAACGCATAGCATGCCAAGGCTCACGTCTGCACAACGTCATGAGGCCATTGGGATGGGCCATGGGGAAATGTCTCAACGACAAGTGGCTGCACATTTCCACTGCCACCGGAACACCATTTCTGCACTGGTGAGACGCTACCAGAACACAAATGACGTCATCGATCGTCCACGTTCTGGACGTCCACGTGTAACAACGCCAAGACGGGACAGACGGATAAGGGTGACACATCTTCGCCACAGGTTTCAGACTGCAGTGATGACTGCCCGAACCATCCCAGGACTTCGCCATTTCCACCCCAACACAGTTCGACAACGTTTACGTCATCAAGGGATCAGACCACGACGTCCCGCCATACGGCCTGTCCTGACACAACGTCATCGACAAGCTCGCCAAATGTGGTGCCGAAATCATGTCCGCAGACCCTTGTTTTGGTGGAGAAATGTTGTTTTTACAGATGAGTGTTTTTATAGACGCGTGGGAGAACGTTATGTACAGGCCTTTGTCTTGGAGAGGAATCGCTTTGGTGGTGGTTCCGTGATGATTTGGGGTGGAATAACAGCACGTCAAAGAACTCCTTTGGTGATTGTTCAGGGCAACTTAACTGGTGTGGGCTACAGGGATCAGATTCTTCGACCTGTGGCAATTCCTTTTCTGCAACGTCATGGCCCTGGGTTAACATTCCAACAGGACAATGCCCGCCCTCATACGGCAAGGGTTGCTATGGATTTCTTGCAACACCACAACGTTGACTTACTGCCTTGGCCTGCAAATTCACCGGATCTCTCCCCGATAGAGCATGTTTGGGACGAGATGGATCGACGTCTACGCCGTCTTCCTCATCCGCCAGATAACGTCCTTGACCTTGCAACAGAACTTGAGAGAATCTGGCGTGACATCCCACAAGCCTTCCTTCCACGTTTGATAGGCTCTATGCGTCGTCGATGCACTGCTGTTCTCAATGCCGATGGTGGACCTACCCGTTATTGAGCTTGTGACATGGTCGTTTGACCCCTGTCCCGCTTGTGGACTCGTGACGTCATTGTGATTGACTTTTCAATTGAATTCTCCCGACTTGTTATGGTCTCATGATCCCTCCATTAAAGTTTATATGTACCTTTGACATGGTTATCGTACTTATCAACTGGGATAATATTTTGACAATGCACAGTTTCTTTATGTGGCCAGTATATAATAAAGAGGAGCCCAGAGACCATTTTCATTTTCAGAAACTGTGGTAATGTAGACTTGCCACTTATTTTAAACTTGCATGGACTGGGTATATTTGTTTCAGGGTCCGTATGACAGATTTTGATGAACGGTTTCTCACCTGTGTTACTGGAGTAGCCTCCGGCAGCAACTTGGCACTGGTCCAAGACGATAACATCAGCCATAGCAGCCGTATAGACACAGGCTACTCCGGGACAGCTGCCAGCATCAATGGGTGTGTCTAAAGTAACAGTGATTGGCCCTCCAATAGTGGCAGGAGCCGGGACTGAAATGGGAAATATACATGTACACGAGCTGTTCTGAACACATTCATTTGATAGATCATTTACCACTTTGTGGAAGTGCGAATATGTACATACACTCGATACATGGGTATCAAAACTTGTGGTGTCACTCTGAAAACGTGACTTAGGTCAAATGAGCCTCATCGAGCAGAAAATTGGTACCCGATATGAGGAAGATGTTAGAACCTTTCCGTGTTAATAAAATGTTACTAAAACGGCATTTGAGATCTATCTGGATCTGAGAATTGGTATCTGGGCATTAGTATCTGGGCATTAGTATCTGAGTAAGTGAGTGAGTAAGTGGTTGAGTAGTTGAGTACCTGAGTGAGTGAGTGAGTGAGTTGACTTGTACGCCGCACTCAGCAATATTCCAGCTATATGGCGGCGGTTTGTAGACAATCGAGTCTGGACCAGACAATCCAGTGATCAACAGCACCAACATCGATCTGCGCAATTGGGAACCGATGACATGTGTCAACCAAGCCAGCGAGCCTGACCACCTGATCCCTCTTACGACAAGCATGGATTACTGAAGGTTCATTCTAACCCGGATCTTCACGGGTGAGTGACTGAGTGCTGATTGCTGAGACTTTTGTGGTGTTTTGTGGAGTAGAAAATTATCATAACATGATAATGTAATGTAAGCAACAAACGCACACGCACACATACGTACACGCACATTTCTTAATTTGGACGCGCACATTTCTTAATTTGGACGATTTCATTATAAACGACACCCTTCATCTTGCGGTCTGTAAATAGCTTTATGAGTCTGGATCAGACAATCCAGTCATCAACAGCATGATCACCGTTCTACGCATATGAGACACGATGACATATGTCAACCAATTCAGCGAGTCTGACCACCCGATTCCGTTAGTCGCCTCTTATGTTACTGAATACCAATTCGGGAGCCAATTATGGTATCCCCCGCGGTGATAATACTGAAATATTGCTACAAGCAGCGTACAACCTCACTCACTCAAATGACTAACTCGATTCTGACTCGATTGACCATGGGGCAGTCTCGCACAAGCAGAAGTGACAATATAAGACATGTCTGGCTCTACTAATCTAAGTAAAGACTCTCTAGTCTAATTACTATAACTTCAGTGCGCCAGGTTTTTATAGATTTTACTGCTGTTATAATGTCAGTCTCAGGCTATTTATAGAAAGTCCAGCGCTTGCTGGATCTCACCTTGCAAATCCGAGGCAACGACCGTTCCATCTTGGGCAATCACGCTGAAACAGAAAGTGAATGAGTGAGTGAGTTTAGTTTTACACCGCACTCAGCAATAATCCAGCTATATGACGACAGTCTGTAAATAATCGAGAACGGACCAGACAATCCAGTGAACAACAGCATGATCACCGTTCTACGCATTTGAGATACGAGGATATGAGTCAACTAAGTCAGCGAGCCTGACCACCTGATTCCGTTAGTCGCCTCTTACGACAGGGTTACTGAAGATCACTTCTTACCCGGATCTTCACGGGTAGCTCAAAATGACACGTATCAGTGATGAAGTTTATTGTAAAAGTGAAGTGTTTAATGGTCATGGGTGTACATGCACGTAGCTACGAAATTGTTTTAGCTAGAACCAATACGTGGCTACAATTCACCGCTTGACGTAACCAGCAGCTACTGAAACGAATGTGGGTTGTCTAGATCTTGGGGTCGTTAATAGCTCGACCAACAGATGCTGACACGACGTAGAGACGCAACATTGCTGAGTCAATACATAGGTCCCCTTTCAAGCACAGTCCCTGAATATAATTTATTCAATGGAACCTTCAAATCTGCGATAACCCCTGACAAAATCAGAATGGGGTGTAGTACATATTTAGTGTGATCTCTGTAAGCAAATCGTCTTATTCCAGAAATAGATTGGGGTCAGTCACCTTTACGTCTCACAAGCCATATAGAAGTTTAGATGAACAGGCGTCAGTTGATTTATATTAATTTATGGACACGTTTTAGAGATTCATCACGGACTGTTAGTAGCTTAATGCGTGAGTAAGTGAGTGAGTAAGTATGGTTTTACGCCCCTTTCAGCAATATTCCGGCAATGTCACGGTGGGAGACATCAGAAATGGGCTTTACAAACTGTACCCATGTGGGGAATCAAACCGGGCGTGACGAGCGGACGCTTTAGCGTATAGGCTGACCCACCGGCCCCTTTGGTGAGTAAAGCCGAAATTGATCCAGATCGAAGACGTTAGTGAGTGAGTGAATGTGTATGTAGTTTAACGCCGCTTTTAGCAATATTCCAGCAATATCACGGGGGGAGACACCAAAATGGACTTCATACATTGTACCGATGTGTGGAATCGAGCCCGGACCTTCAGCGTGACGACGACAGTTAAGCTTATCATTAGGCTCCCCACCGCTCCTCAAAGACGTAAGGGGCAGTGGGGTAGCCTAGTGGTTAAAGCGTTGGCTCGTCACGCCGAAGACCCGGGTTCGATTCCCCACATGGGCACAATGTGTTAAGCCCATTTCTGGTGTCCCCCGCCGTGATATTGCTGGAATATTGCTAAAAGCGGCGTAAAAACTAAACTCAGTCAGTCAGTCAAAGACGTAAGCCACTGGAAACCACAATTCTGGTGATTCTGGTACAAACAAATGATCTGTAACTCTGTATAGAGGATTAGGAGGAATGAATAGGGTTATATGCCGCTTTTAGCAATATTCCATCAATATCACCGCGGAGTACACCAGAAATGGGCCTCACACATTGTACTAATCTGGAAAATCGAACCCGGGTCTTCTACGTGACGCGTTAACCACTAGACTTTATGCAACAGGGACAAATGTGCATGAAAATTGTTCTTTACTTACTTGGCTCCGTTTGCGAACAACGCGCAGTTGGCTGGTAGCGACAGTGTCGTAGCAGACGTGATGACACCCGTGCAAACGGTGATATTGGCGGCCTGAGGAGCGACAATAGAAACAAGACCCGGAAACTCGTCACAGCTGGTGATGGCGTTAGCGTTAAGTAGCCTCTGTCGACACCGTAGTCGTGGCTGTTGCTGGACAGACTGCCAACATAACATAGCGTATTAAGATGACGTAGAATCTAGCAGACGACAAGGAAAACAAATTTAGAGTTATCTCCCTTCCATCGATTTGCATTCGCAAAACATCGGTAATTTCCGTACATCACACGTGTCTCAATTATTCGAGATAAAGAATTACTTATACGAAGTACCAAATGAATTCACACAGTTCTGCATTCCCAGCGGATATCATAGACAATATTAAATAACAGAAGAGCGCTCACCAAATCAATGGATGAGTCACACTTTCTGTGTGAAATCACGGGCACTCTAAAACATATAATACATAAGATCGATCTGATCATGTGGACTTCGATGACGTGCATCGGTCATATCAGCAAGCCTGACCACGGACTCCACTCCGTCTCTACGACAAGCATGGGTTTCTATAGATCAGTGCTCCGGATGTTCAGGGTTAAACAGGAATGAAAACCTACATTGTTGAATCAGGGTAGTTGTGGTGGTGGTTGTAGTTGTGGTGGTTGTAGTAGTTGCTGTAGGAGTCGTCGTTGTTGTAGGAGTCGTCGTTGTTGTAGGGGTAGTAGTTGTTGTAGGAGTAGTTGTTGTAGCATTAGTAGCTGTTGTAGCAGTAGCTGTAGCATTTATACTACAATCGCCCGGATTTGATGTACATTTGCACGCATTACGGTCTTGTAGATAGGGTCTGAATTTGCCGTAATATCGAGAATCTGAAAAAACAAACGAAGAAAACATTATTGATATATAAATCTTTCAGGAATAATCGGCGAGGAGTTACGGGTCGTCTCTCCCAAGTGGATTAATTTGGTGTGTTCTGAGATTTATATATTATTTATGTATTTGGTCAGGTTAAAATCCGTAATGCCGTGGTGTCAAATGGTCTTTTCTTTTGTGGAATTTTAAGACAAAAATATGACAGACGGTTTCATAGGTGTAGTGTTGTATGTTTCAGTTAAATATTATTTTATATACAGATTGGTAACAAGTTGAAATCGTCCGGGAGGCGAGACATCCGGATTATCGGAGTCCGGACTAACGGGGCTTCACTGTCTTGTATATGCCTAAGAAAATGTTTTGGTTACTATACTGCTGTCACATGATACTTCTTTATTTGCGATGACATAATAAATAGATGACATCACCTTCTATCATCACTTTACTATGTACCAAGCAATGAAAGCAATCCTGGAACCAATGAAAGGAACTAACCAAAGAACACGAAGCACTTTAAAGGTAATGATGACTGTTGAGTACTGGGAGTGAGCTCCCTATTGGTAATCTGTGCACATTTCATCCTTTAAGTGACACATCGGAGACACTGTGATCAGTAAGCTGGCACTAAATGGGTACCCGATAGTAACAATGATTGCAAACTGCTTGTGGATATACATGAAATAGAGGCTTGCCATTGGCTATATGCGCCGCAGGACTGTGAATGCAAACTGATCCTTTTTAATTCTTGTATAGCCGATGAGCCGGTGTTGACTCCAAGATGAAGAATTATTTCTTGATCATTTTCAGGCTTATGATATGAAAAGATAGATTATTAAACTTGTCGTTGTCAGCACGATGCGTTCACAGTACTTAACTCAACTGTTTATTAAGTTGTCAACATGCTCAATTTTTTTCTGTACAAATATTTCTGTAATTGCATTCATTGTTTCAAATGTCATAAAAGTGATAGAAAAAATGGACTCAACACGGTGGAATATTTTCTGCATACATATTCCGGGCAAATGAACACATTTCAATAATCTAGCATTCTATAATGCTTATTATCGGCAAAACTAGAACATAGAACAAAGTATGATATTTATTGCAATACACACCGTTCTTGTCACTGGTTAATATATTTGGCCGACGTAATTCAACCAATGACAATTTCAGTGATAGATATTGGACGCCAGTTTCCGAGTATATGATCATGACATTCAAACCAGGATATATACTTAGAGAAACTAATAATAAAACACAGGAAAATTCAAGTGTTCCTTTAATATTTTCCACTTTCCATCACCAGCTTTGCGAAGCGCTGTAGGGGAAAACCTGAGAATATTTAGGAACACTGCTGTCAAGTGGTGTTCCCTCATTTGTTTCCCTTAGTATATTATAAATATAGAAACGTCGGCGTGCACCGGAACACATGGAACCGTTGGGGAAAACAAGGGAAAACTTAACACATGGAACCGTTAGGGAACACAAGGGAACCGATAACACTTTGAAACCGTTAGTGAACACAAGGGAACGGTGAGGGGGCACAAGGGAACCGTTAGTCAACACATGGGAACTCTTAACACAAGGGAACCGTTCGGGAACACATGGAAACCGTTAGGGAACACAAGTGAACCGTTAGTCAACACAAGCCAACCGTTATCACATGGAACACGTTACTCAACACAAGAGAACCGTTAACACAAGGGGACCGTTGGGGAACACAAGTGAACTGTTAGTCAACACAAGCCAACGGTTATCACATAGAACCCGTTACTCAACACAAGAGAACCGTTAACACAAGGGGACCGTTGGCGAACACAAGGGAACCGTTAGGGAACACAAGGAAACCGTTAGGGAACACAAGTGAACCGTTAACACAAGGGGACCGTTGGGGAACACAAGGAAACCGTTAGGGAACACAAGTGAACCGTTAGTCAACACAAGCCAACGGTTATCACATAGAACCCGTTACTCAACACAAGGGAACTGTTAACACATGGAACCGTTGGGGAACACAAGCCAACCGTTAACACATGGAACCCGTTACTCAACACAAGAGAACCGTTAACACAAGGGGACCGTTAGGGAACACAAGTGAACCGTTAGTCAACACAAGCCAACGGTTATCACATAGAACCCGTTACTCAACACAAGAGAACCGTTAACACAAGGGGACCGTTGGGGAACACAAGGAAACCGTTAGGGAACACAAGTGAACCGTTAGTCAACACAAGCCAACGGTTATCACATTGAACCCGTTACTCAACACAAGGGAACTGTTAACACATGGAACCGTTGGGGAACACAAGGGAACCGTTAACACATGGAACCCGTTGGTCAACACAAGGGAACCGTTAACACATGGAACCGTTGGTCAACACAAGAGAACCGTTAACACATGGAACTGTTGGGGAACACAAGGGAAAAGTTAACACATGGAACCGTTACTCAACACAAGGGAACCGTTAACACATGGAAACCGTTATGGAACACAAAGAACCGATAACACATGTAACCCTTAGTCAACACAAGGGAACCGTTAACACGTGTGACCTTTAGTCAACACAAGGGAACTGTTAACACGTGTGACCTTTAGTCAACACAAGGGAACTGTTAACACAAGGGAACCGTTGGGGAACACAAGGGACCCGTTAACACATGGAACCCGTTGGTCAACACAAGGGAACCGTTATCACATGGAACCGCTGGGGAACACAAGGGAAAAGTTAACACATGGAACTGTTAGTGATCACAACGGAACCGTTATCACATAGAACCATTAGGGACCAAAAGGGAACAGTTAACACTTGGAAACCGTTAGTGAACACAAGGGAACCGTTAGGGGGCACAAGGGAACCGTTAGTCATACAGGGGAACTGTTAACATAATGGAACCTTTGGGAAACATATGGAAACCGTTAGGGAACACAAGGGAACCGTTAGTCAACACAAAGGAACCGTTAACATATGGAACCCGTTGGTCAACACAAGGGAACTGTTAACACATGGAACCGTTGGGTAACACAAGGGAAAACTTAACACATGGAACCGTTGGTCAACACAAGGGAACTGTTAACACATGGAGCCGTTTGGGAACAGAAGGGAACTATTAACACATGGAACCGTTAGTCAACACAAGGGAACTATTAACACATGGAACTGTTAGGGAACACAAGGGAACCGTTAGTCAACACAAGGGAACTGTTAACACATGGAATCCGTTAGTCAACACAAGGGAACTATTAACACATGGAACCGTTAGGGAACACAAGGGAACCGTTAGTCAACACAAGGGAACTGTTAACACATGGAGCCGTTTGGGAACAGAAGGGAACTATTAACACATGGAACCGTTAGTCAACACAAGGGAACTATTAACACATGGAACCGTTAGGGAACACAAGGGAACCGTTAGTCAACACAAGGGAACTGTTAACACATGGAATCCGTTAGTCAACACAAGGGAACTATTAACACATGGAACCGTTAGGGAACACAAGGGAACCGTTAGTCAACACAAGGAATCCGTTAGTCAACACAAGGGAACTATTAACACATGGAACCGTTAGGGAACACAAGGGAACCGTTAGTCAACACAAGGGAACTGTTAACACATGGAGCCGTTTGGGAACACAAGGGAACTGTTAACACATGGAATCCGTTGGTCAACACAAGGGAACCGTTAACGCATGGAACCGTTAGGGAACACAAGGGAAATGTTAAGACATGGGTGAGTAAGTGAGTTAGTCAGTTGAGTTTTACGCCGCACTCAGCTATATTGCTGCTATATGGCGGCGGCCTGTAGATAATCGAGTCTGGACCAGACAATCCAGTGATCAACAGCATGAGCATCGATCTGCGCAATTGGGAACCGATGATATGTGTCAACCAAGTCAGCGAGCCTGACCACCCGATCCCGTTAGTCGCCTCTTACGACAAGCATAGTCACCTTTTGTGGCAAGCATGGGTTGCTGACGACCTATCCTACCCCGGATCTTCACGGGTCTGTTAACACATGGAACCCGTTAGTCAACACAAGGGGAACCGTTAGGTGAGGTGAGGTGAAATTGGGTTTTACGTCGTTCTTGAGAATATTTCGCTCATATGACGACGTGCATGCGTGTGTATGTGTATGTCCGGCTGATTGTACTAGCCCAGACTTAAGCTGGTTTTATAGTGCTAGGGACCAACAAGTACCATATTTTAACGTCGTTTGGTATGACGCGGTCGGGGAGGAACCGTTAGGGAACACAAGGGAACGGTTAGAGAACACAAGGGGAACACTTTCCCACCACCGAATGTTAAGTTTACTCTTTCTTTTAATTTTAATTTTCGTTCCACACGGCGTTGAAGGTCGTACCGAATGTTTTCAGGTGATGCAACATGCTTCGTCTCATGTGATTGAAACTCTGAACAGCATTTAAATGCCATTGATCTTATAATAAACAGCTGAATGAATGTACTGAAAAACTCGTATACCGTCGTAAATTGTTACATCAAATCTTTACAGTGTAGACAAGGTTCACCCACGACCCATGAATAAATTCCACCATCTATGGTCATCAATCAGTTAATCTAATGAGGCCGTTTATAAGTCAGCTGTTAGTAAAACTATCATAGTACCATGTGACTAACGATGCTATTCAATAGACACATAGATAATGCCCGCACATATTAACTTGGTACACCATAAAAGAGACTTACATATTCCACTTATTTGGGGAATGGAACCCGGGCTTTCGGCATGACGAGCTGACACTTTAGTCACTACGCTACTACACCGTTCCTCTGTGGAACACAGCTGGACAGATGAAATAATAAACATTAATTCTCTACACTTGTTCTATGTATATGAGAGCAGGTACTTTTATACGTACACCTTGGTCTGGCGTATCTACAGCCATCGATGTTGTTGTCGCAGCACAGCCCAGACCTGTCCGTATAGCCACTGCTCTGGGAGTATGGTCTTCTTCCCAAGTTAC